TGTGTGTGTGTGTGTGTGTGTGTGTGTGTGTGTGTGTGTGTGTGTGTGTTAAAGATGGCAGTCCCTCTCCTTCAGGCTATCTGGTTCCTCCATTCACTCCAGCAGTGACTCAGACTTATTTTCAGTCTGGAGGAAGTTTATTGTTGAAAATTGACCATTGAACTCTTCCTCTGTCCTGGCACTTGAGCTGTATGAAATCTGAAAAAGCCAGAAAACTGCAGCAAGCATAAGAAAAGATGCTGTATCCTTTAAGAAACTGCTTTTTGGGGGGCTATGTGAGCATACACTGCCTAATACTCTAATGGCTATCATTATAAATAACTGCTTTCAGCAAACGCAAGTCAAATATATTCCTATTTAAAGAATATCTGGACAGTAATAGTTGACATGTATAGAAAAACATAAAAATATTATTCTCCCTTTTTTTTCACATATAGACATTTACTGGTTGTGAACATGATACAAGCAGCCTCTGTATTTTTTATTTGGGAACGTTTTTCCAGTCATAACCTGTCTGTACATTATGGAAATCTACATGTGGAGACTTGAGTTACAGCTCACAGTAAACACCATAGGATTTTATTGTTGTAAAAGCTATGTTATAAACCCATGGTAATGCAGTTGTAAGTACAGATGGGTTAAGCTTTACAAGCTAAGCAAACCCAGAGAGTGACATTTGTCTCTCAGGTAAACTCGACTTTGACCACTTATTTATATTGGTCAAGTACATTTTCACTATGTATAAAACTCCATAACTGCTCCTTTAACTTGTTAACAGCTTAGCTTCATCTCCCTGTATTCTGAATTCCTGTTAAGCCTAACAAAACAAACAAACAAAGAAAGACCACAAAAAGACGAGGACAAAGTATAAAAGAATATCAGCAGCATAAAGTATTTCACTCTGTGCTGCAGCAGGTAATAGTGCTGCCAACACAAGACAAATTAGCCTCTCAGACATACAGAGTCTAATATGTTTTAATGCTGCTGCTGACTTACACATCAACAGTATCTTTTTTTGAATATAAAGCACCTTATTTGTTTGTGGCTCTCTGTTAGCCGATGTTTTATTTTTTTTCCTTATCAGACTTCTTTTTCCTTATCATTTTTCAGACAAATTACTTATTTGTGACATTATCTTTGTCATGTTGCACATATGACTTTGTAATAATCTTGGATATTGAATAACAACTCTGTTGCACTTTAATAGCAAAAAAAAAACTAAATGCAAAGCTATAACATAATGTTTTCTGAATATAAATATCAAAACAAGAAAAGAAAAAACAAACAATGTTCCTAACGCAAAATGTTAGACAACTTGAACTTTCCTGATCACCATCCTTGCATTGAAATATGAAAGAAGAGGTGAGGGAAGAAGAGACGAGCAGAAGAGAGTGGAAGGACTGAAAGAAACTGGGGAGAAACATTAAGACATTTTCAGCACATTCACTTTATCTCACCTCTCAGTAACTTTTAAACACAAAGTGAAGAAGCGTCTCTGATATAATTGGAAAATTGGCGCACAGACACACACACATCTAAATTGTTATGGCAGTTTTTAAACATGCTGTTAGAGATAATGTGGGCCGAAGTAGATGAGGCTATCAGTATTTCTGCTGACTTAGCAGTCATTGACCTACACTTAAAAATGTGCATGTGCATTATGCATGCTTGAAAGAGTGTGTTTGAGAGTGTGCGTGCATTCAGTGAGCTTTGAATGGCTGCCTGTAAAGCTTGTATGATTTTTTTGAGCATGCACTATATGTTTTCAACATTTATATCCACGCAATAACGTACTATACGTGCACTTACTCATATTGCACACACACAGGCAGAGGGTTTTCTCATTTCCTGTCCTCTCTGGTCAGCAATTTTTGCAAAATCAACCCTCAAATGCTGCTTTCAGCTCAATGGATAAAACTGTATAACTAATAATCCACAAACTGCTCTTTTAACTGATAAACAAAGATAGCTTTTTCAAAGATACACCCAGCTCGCGTTACCGCAGCTTGGAGAGGGAGGAGCGAGTGGAGGATGTATTCAGCTGGTTGCAATCCGCAACCACACTGCTCGATGCCAACAAATACTTCACACTGTCCCTTTAAGCACAGATGTTTTGTTAAGTGCGAAAAAAGGAGAAATATAAACAAATGTTTCATTCCAGCTGGAAACATTTGAGAGTATTTAATCACTAACTTGGCAGCTGTCATATGTTTTTTTTTTCTTTTAACAGTCACAATATAAATATGGTTAGCTGTATAGTTATATATAAAAGTCCTGTTAGTCCTGTTATAAAACAATCAAATCAATGTTCTATGTTTCTGCCTTTCTGATTAAATACTGTATATACAGTATTAATACAATTGTATGACATGATGGTGATTATAAAGAAGTACTGGAATCTGCTTAAGTTGTGATTTTAACAAAACTGAAGCTGATCAATAAAATGATCAATGTTACATCACAAAAGAAGTTCAAACTGGTATTTCAGGTTAGAGACAGGAGCTGGTTAAAGCTCAAGAAGCACTGGTACATTTTTTGAAGTGCTTAAACAGCTTTAAGTTCTCTCTAATATTTGAATGTGAGCCATTTAATCATTTAGGAAGATAGATAAATGGTGTTTATACACTTGAGTATAATATGTCTGCGAGCAATATGTAAGTTATACTGAAGACCACTTTCACTTATTTTCTCTGTCTAAATGTCTCTAAATGTTTGTCTCTATTTTTCTATCTGTATTCCTCTGTCTTACCGATTTCTTCCTCTGCTCTGTTTTCTCTCTCTTTCACCTGTTTGTGTTCTCTGTGTTTCTTTCAGTTTGTGTGTCTATGTGTGTGCTTTGCTGAGTGGGGACAGCTCCTGCTGGGTATCACTGCTTTCACACTAGCTGTCTTCATATGGTAATCCCTGTATACCTGACACACAAACATGCACACGCACACAGACGCCCCTCTTATTCACTCGTCATTCTGTCTAAGCGGAGAGGAATCCTCTGGCCAAGGCAGTCTTCTGCATATGTTCCCTCTCTCAACATTGTCACGCTCTCAAGCAGAATGACAGAAAACAATGAAATGAAAGACAAAAAGTGACAGAGAATAATGGACAGCTACTCCCTGACATTTTGTGAATTGAGATAAAGAAAGACAGAGAGTTGGTGGGCTGGTGTTGATTTGTTTTTTCAGTAAAAGTTCCAGGAAATAAAGTACACAACAGCAGCTCTACAGCAAGAAACATAATCTTCAAAGACTTTTCCTGGACTCTAATGAATTTTCATGTTTGATTTGTCAGGTTAATAAACACACATTTAAATGTGATTCAAATAAATGCCAATGTCCATTTCCATCAGCCCTGCTAAAGTAAATACACTTCCTGAACAATGCGGTTAATTCAAAGTACACGTCCGCTATGACAGAATAACTGATTATTATTCAGCGTGTTAAGTTGTTATTATTTTGTTTCAGCTAATGTTGATATTTCATGCCAAAGTGTTTTGGCTCAGTGAATTTGTCATTCACTGGGCCTGCTGAGGCCAAACCAATGTCATTATTTATTCCGTTGAGGCATTTGCATCCCTATTTATTCCATCGTTTATTTTTTCACAGAACACTTTCTCATCTCAAGTGAGCTGAAAATTGTCTCATATTGCGTGAATGTCACAGAAATTTGCCTTTTCTATTCAGTTCGACTAATTTGACACAACAAAACGCCCATGCATATGTTTGGATAGAATCCCAGTGATTGAGGAAAATGTGAAGTGTCTTTGTCAGAGAATCAGTTGGGAGGACAAACGAATACCTTCTCTGGTGGTTGAATCTGAGGTCATCAGGGAAAAGTAATATCATCATCTGCACACACAGTCATCACAGAGGTGTTGAAAGATCAAGAGAAAAAAGTCCAGATTGAGAGCCACTGGAAAACCACCCAACAGGCTAAACCACTTCAAAAACATTAAAATACAGTCAATCTTCCTTATTTGTGTCTCTTTCTCTTTTCAGAAAGCTTCCTGCTCAACATTTGTGTGAAAAACTACAATCTAGATATTGTGATGACGGTTTGTCATATGCAATGCAAATTGGCACAGGCAGACACTGTGGGGACAGGCTCTCTGAGTAGGAGAACACAGATTTCATTGATCAAATCAAATGATCGGAGTTAAAGTGGTTCAAGTTCCTGATACCTGCACATTTTGCATAACACTAGAACCAACAAACTTGTTTTTTTCCCTTTATCAATGACCAACAAAATATGAATCCGTTATATCATTCAAGTAATTTTTAGCGCACATATATTGACGACTAACCTTGTGGAAGCTGCCATGGAAGATTTTTTTGATTTCAGTTCCTTGAAAAGTGACGGTCTGGAAGTCTCCTTTGTAGTCATAGTTGAAGAACGTCAAAGTCTTTCCAGAGTCTGTGGGGGGACAGAATGATGAGAGCATAGAAAAGGTTGATGTTCACATCAAGTCAAAACTTTGTTTTTGGATACACTATTGTCTCTGTCTCCGGCTATTGACTCCAATAAAGATACAGGGTATTACAACAGGCTGGACAATATTAGCAACAAACAACTTGATCTTTCTGCCTCTCTGCCATTTATGAAAAAATTCAAACTTCATAAGATGTAATTTTGACTAATACATGAAATAATTCCATTTCATTGTGAAATAGGCATGAAATCCCTGTAATCTTTGTTTTGCAAAACCCTGTAATATCATTTTGTATCATGTTCCTGATAGAAAAGTTTTTTTTTTTCTTTTTTACTATAACATTATCCCCATTATTCCAGTAATATATGTTACATTAGTGGCAATGAGAACTATGAGTTTCTACCATGTCAATGTCAACTAAACTTTGAGATTGTCACAATATTTTTGCTTCTGTAAATTAAAATATGAAAAGCAGAATAATGTGTCATTGGATCACTGCAGAGAGATTATTAGGTAAGCATGCTGATTACTTTGTTGCTGTTTAATCTGTGACACAAAAAGTACATATAACGGTGATACAACTTTAGTTAAAATACTGTAAGCTTTTCTCAAACCTCTGGACCAATTTACTGTTAACGGTCATGCGTGCTATGCCATTATCGACTCGTTTCTTTTGTCTTAAATTTCAGCCCATGAAACACTTATCCATGAGTTCAGGATTCTTCTAACTATACTATATAACCACATTTACAATTCAATTTCTTCATCCTTTTCTTGCCGCTTAGCTGTATCGGGGTCAACGGGGAAAGTAGAGCAAAACAAAATGACTTTCCCCCTGTAACCTCCTCCAACTACTCCCAAGATCATCCATTCCAGCTGGTAATATAATCTCCGCAGCAGGTCAGGGGCCTGCTCTGGGTCTCCTCCAAGTCAGTGTCCGAAACGCCTCTAAAGTTTGACGCCTGGGGTGCATTTCATACAGTAAGCAGTATTTCTGGAACTTCGCTTATCACAGCCAGATCAGCACACAAGAATCAGCACCTCTAAGTTTGAGGTCATGGTGCTCTCCCAGACTAATGCTGTGTCCCATTCAGGACAGTGTAAGTAAGGGAGGCCTTCCACAAACAGAAGTGCTCTCATTAATGATTGAAGACACAAAGGTAAGACGAAAACGTTTTGAAAACGAAATCTGCTGCATTATACTCTCTCTCAGATTATTTGGAGGCATTGGGACTGCAGGAGCTTCAGCACACGTCTGTTTGAGTTTGTCAAACTGCGATATGTTATGATGCAGGAAAGACAAAGAAAAGATGAGCAACAACGCAAGTGATTGAAACTTACTGTCCAGGATTAGTCCGACCAATGGCTCGTTGTCCTTGTGGAGGATTTCCCACAGTGCAAAAGGCTCCTGCGGGGTCTCAGGAAGTAGGCGGAGCATCATAGATATGGTGTAATCAGAGGGTAAACCTTCAGGATGAAGGTACCTGGTACACACATTAGAGAACAGACACAGACACACACACAAAGATAGTGAGCATAGCTATTCCCTAAAGGCATGTATCCACTTGGTGTCTTTTTTCAAAGTGCCATTGACTCTCTTCAGCTCTTGTGAATGCTTTAGACTGTCTTCGAGTGCCAGCCTCTTTTTGATCTCAGAGCCGATCCTTTTTTGTGCAGCTGCCTTCGAGCACTTCAGGTTAAAATTGTCTCCGTTTTAACTTTTCAGAGAGCTCTTCAATGTCACTTTTCACAAAATGAACAATCATAGAGCAGGAAGCTAAAGTTAAAGCTGGTTGACGGTAAAATCCAAGAAAAAAAGCTCCAAAATGACAACATCCGAGAGAGAAAGACTTTACGGGGAGCATACCGTATTTGAAGCCATTGAATGATCCCTTTAAGTGTCCTACGTATGGGTTTTATACTTGAATATTCCCCTTGTGGTATAAGTGCTAGGTAAATATTAACACCTCTATCCTGCACCTGCAAGCATCTCATTGACGTTTTCAGTAATTTGTATCAGCTCTTAATTCTGTGAAGCCTTTTAATTACTTGTGGTCATAGTCTAAATCTGTGATTTAAAACCCATTTAAATGCCCGAGGAAATGACCGTAGCATCTTTAATCTTTTATTGATACTTACCGATTGGGCAGGGTCTAATCAGACAACACGCTATAATAGGTCTTAAACGTGTCCTGTATAAGCAATGAAGATGATATGGAATTCAAAGAGATATAAAGTAGGATCTGCAATGCATTTTCTTATGTGGATAGCAGACCATCAATCATCGCCTGAGTTTATTTGTGGGGTGCTTTCTCTGTTGCTCTAGTTAGGACACTTACAAAAAGTTGGTTCCATGGGAAACTACAGGGCATTACATGTGCAGTAAATGTAAATTAGTGAACTAATCTATGCGTTTTGCTTTGTGTGTATAATGTAGACTAGAGCCATACAGTACCTGGTGAATTTTGACACCAGAGTTGTAGTTTGCATGGTGTGATAATGTTGGAAAAATATTCTAGAATTGAGTTTTGAGGCCTTTAAAGAGAATGATCTGAAATTGCCAATTTTCTTTTTGTGTTGCTTGGCAGTAGTAATTGCAGGGATTAGTGGTAACTGCCTGTTTAATAATATGTTACTGTAATAATCTGCCTCTGCTCTGAGCTTTTTGATTTTCTTTTTATTACAGAAATTCCATGATGTTTTTTAAAAACTGCATTCTCTGTAAATTTAGAAAAATGTTTGGGCACACACGTGTATTTACATTAATTCATCAGATATATCTGTCATTTAGAGTACGGCTACCACATATGGTCTGGGTTACCATTTCCATCCAAGCGCACCTTCTTCCTACAGGCCCAATAATAACATTTTAATTGCTTTTTGTGTCGATATAAATGTAACCGATTGTGTTAAATGGCCATATGATATCATCCCATATTGTTCACAGGCAAGGCCCCTGAAATTAATCAAATCAAAATTGCTTCGTGGCAGACTTTGTGATATCAGCAAATATCGCAACGTTGTCCAATGAATCAATATAATACGTTATTGTGATGTAGCTTGTGAATCATACCCCTACTGAATTTTGTGTTCAGCTATAACAGAACATACTATGAAGAGTAAGAGGCGAAAGAATGGAGGTGTATTTAAGCATAGTAACAGGCAAATCCATCTCATTATCAGATGACAGCTATGACGCACAGTTATTTAGCTTGTCAACTGAACCAGAATTTCTAAAAAACAATCCAAGCGGTGCTTTTGTAAACAGTTTAGTATGTACTGTAACCCGTGATTTCTCCCCCTTAGAGTGAACATACTCACTTGGTGGGCTGTGACACCAGGGCGTCACGGTGTAATCTGTAACAGGGGAAGCTGTTGAATGAACCCGGCTCCAGAGAAACTCCAGGTATGGTGCTGTACTCCTTCTCTACGAGGCCAAATTTCTCCATCATATGGAAACCTGCAACAGACAATTTGTCATTACCGGCATAATCCTTATCCTCCTCCTCCTCCTCCTCCTCCATGTGATCACTTTAATTACAATCATTACCCCGACCACAGTGTGCACCGACATCATGTTATTACCATCATCGTAATTTGCTGTTTATAAAGATTTGACAAACTAATTGGACTTGCGTGACGATTGTACAGTATATTATGCATGTTTCCTTACCTGCCATCGTGTTACCACTCATCAAAACAGATGGACAAGCTGAAAGACAGTAAAGACTTTATCCTTAATATTTCAATATGTCTCCACCAACAAGGACTGACTTTTCTGAATTCCTTTCCCTCCTGGTCTCTTACCCTGTCTCTGTTTTAAACACAAGGTGGTGTTACTTACTGGCAGTGGCAGCCTCACAGACAAAAGTAATAAGCTGTTCTTCTATTTTCTTCACAGCATCCAGATCATCCACAAAGAAGACATGTCTATCACTGGGCTTGCTGGCAATATTCACCAGCTCCCCATAGTCGGCGTCCGCAAAGCCAATGGCAAAGATGATATAGCCTGAGAATGGAGTCAAACAAGAGAGTTCATTACCAGTTTGAAGTGGGTGGAAAGGATTAAGTGGAGTAATGTAACACATTGTTGGGGTTATTGGTTTCAAACCAATGGTTAAAGAGTCTGATATCCTATAACAGTAAAATGTGACATAAAGTCCATAATGCATCCAAGAATTGAGAGGGGGAATAAGTCCTCCACCTTGTCTGTACTTATAAACAAAGAATCACATACTGAACATCGATTGCCATTTTTTTCATAACTTTAACAAACTACCTATGATTTTATTTTGATTTTATAAAAAACCCACCATCCATCTGCATCTCCTTGGACACTTTGTTGACATCATCTTGGGAACGTCCATCAGTGAGAACAACTAGGACTTTAGGAACGCCCCTTCTAGCTCCGGCCTCTGGGGTGAAAATAGACTCCTTCACATGCTGGATGGCCCGACCTGATGAAGACAAAAGGAAACTCTTGATTTAACAAACACACCAGTATCTCTGCATGTTTTAGCCCATATAACATTTATATTTAACATTTATGCCCTTTGCTTTTAGAAACATGCTAAAATGTGTGAGATGTTGTGTTCATTTCTACTTTTCAATCCTTTCATTTCTGTAAAACTGTAAAATTAAATTGCAGAAACTTAAGCTGGATAAATAATAATAAATCACAGTATCCTTTTTTGTCTGCTTTTTTTTTCTTTTACAATATTTTTGTTGCGTTACATAAATGAAGCACAGTGTTAATTCAAGCACTAAAGCTACACTTCTACAATCTGATTGGCATCAGATGTTTCCAATATACTTCATAATCATTGGCTCATTCACAGCTGTGGGCTGATAATGTCCAATCATAACCTTGCATGTGTACAGCACAGAGTTAAAACCTGAGACTTATATGTTACTGTGCCGATTACCTCCATGCCTGCTCCATTTGCTGACGCAGCTAACTCCACCACCTTAACCTTATTTCGTATTGTTGATTTAACTATATCGTATTGTTAAGATTTAATGTTGAAGTGTGTTTATTAAGGGAGGATTGGCACTCTCAGCAGAGTCATTGTTGCTGCTCAGATTCTTTGAGAGCTCCCTCAAACAGCAGTCTTTCTCTGCCAAACTGTACAGACATTTGTTACTAATGGTCAAATCCTTAACGTAACGTGTCTCTGACTGAACTATAACAACTCTGAGAAAAATAAAAGCTGCAATGTGCTTTTTTTAGTGATTATTAACTCAAACCATTTCCAAGTCTCTACTAGATTACTCTCATGTTGTAGTGAAATCAATGTTAACTAATAGCTGCCTTGAAGTAATAACACAATAAAAACATTAAACAATACAGCAGTAATGCAACATACACATTTATAGTAAAAAGAACAACGCAAAACCACTAGTATGTTCCTTTTTGTGGTGCTTCAACCTCTCCACCCCACTCTTAGCACCATCTTGTGATATTCATCTTTTCATTCGAAGAAATAAATGCCAGACAAATTAAATTTATTTAAAGCACGGATGTATTCATTAACAGTCTAAAAGAAATCCTCTTCTCCATTTCAAGCATGGCTGTGAATGCTTGTGACCTTTGCTACAATTTTAATGTACTTGCTAATTAAAAAAAACAAGTATTCATTATTCTTCCCCCGACAATAATGGAATATAATTTCAAGCCCATAATTATGACATGACTCGAGTGACCTGAAAGCTCCTGAAACCAGATTCCGGCCGAGTTGCCATTAACATTTAAAATATGCCAGAAGGCAGACAATGTCGGATGTATTTCAATGAGACCTAAACACTAAGGGATGAGACAAAGATGGAAATGTCAAAATTAAGTCTGTGAAAAAGTTTAAACTGGATCAACCTGTGACAGAGTGCACGTTACCTGCTTATAGACTTAATCAGTCAAAAAAATCCTTCTAGACAGCTTTAAATGGTTTCAAGACCTGCTCACAACAAAGCAGCCATGGTGTCAGTGACTTTAATGAGACCTTATATATATTACTGTGTTTCAAGACCATCAAAAAAAAACACAAGTTCTCAAAAATTGTATTCAAAACACCCAGTTAATTTGCAAAGTTAATGGTTAAATCAAAATATATGTAGATACTGTATTCTTTTTATTATATTTCTATTGATCTTTCTGCCTCCAGACAGCTCTCCCTCTCTCACTGCCGAAAAGAGACTTAAAATAACAGAAACAAACTGATTGATCTTAACTGTTAAATACTTCACACAGACTGAATAAAGGCAACAATGTGTGTGCAAATACACTCATCTTCTGCATGCAAGCCCTCCAAACCACCAGTCCCCTGATCATTTGTATTTAATGTCAGTTTTAGTATACTGTCCATCATGATTTGCATTAATACTTCAAAAAGCTCACCTACTCATCTCCACCTGACCTTTTCATAATTAAATGGACAATCACTGCTATTAATCATCTTTACTCCCTCCGTCCTTTAACACTCTCTCCTCTCACTCCTCTTGTGTGTTCAAAAGTGAGTCTGAGTTCTTAAGAGAGGTGCTGAGTATCAGCCAACTTCGCAATAAAAACTACTAGATGAAGCAATAAAAGGCCTTATAAACTGACCAAACACTTATTGTAGATGGGAGTGTGTGGTGTAAATGGCTTTATGTGTGTATGCTGTCTGTCTCCCAATTTCTAACTAAACCAAAACCCTCAGATCACATCCCTGCCTCCTCCTCCTGTTTTTCTTCTATTTTTATATTATTTACAGAGCTGTCAGTGGTGACAAATGATAGAGTGCTTGGCCTGTAAAGTGTTGTGTTGTCAGATATCTGCCAGTGATACATCTGTTTCTACACTGTCCTCTGATCACACTGGGCTAGACTGGAATTACAGCAGCTAGCCAGGCATGAAGTAAGACAAAGGACAGAGCAAAGGAGAAGCCGACGGGGGATGAGATAAAGGAGGGGCTGGGTGGGAGCGGTGGAAGACAAAAAGGGAGGGCAGGTAAAAGGGCACAGAGTGAGTGGGGAGAAAAGGTAGAGAAAAGACAAAAGAGGTCAGATGGGGAAGGGCAGGTAAGAAAGGAGGATGAGAAAAAAACTAAAACAGAAACATGTCAGTGGATCTTGGGTTCAAAAGCCCATCATCAATCAGCCATCTATCCCTTTTTGTGTGAGAAGTGATCCATATCCGTTTTGATTGGGCCTCCTGTCTGGCTACAGTTTACCAGTTTTCTCGCCGACACTTAAGACGGGAAACCATAAGAGAAAACAAAAGTATGAGTGCATCTCTCCTGCTTTAGAATTCAAAGCGTTGGTGCAAAATATAATAGGAGACCTTCTCTCCCTGCTCTTTTGAGGCTGCAGGTGATGTATGACTAGGAGGAGATTGTGATATTATGTCTGGGTTATTATGAACAGCAAGAGCTATAAAAACCCTCTAATCTGTGAAACATTACAGTCAATTCCTAAGAAATAAATTTGGACAATCCAATGCATTATATAAAATATACAATGGATTTTGAATGGGTCTCACTGGCTTTTATCGTCAATGAAACTCATTCATGGGCCATTCATACATCCATTCCTGAATACATAAAAGACTCATGAACCTTGAAAATAGAGTGATGGTCTCACACAACTGCATTAGCTGAAGAAGTCAGACTGGCTGCTAATCATTGAACAAGGCCAATCACATATTGGATAACTAATGTGTGACTATATTACTGTACAAATAAGAATTAAAAGTAACACTATTTTACATACTGGAGGTCAGCCTTCTCAACACACACACATTAATCTTCACATTGGCCCACGGGGACACATTTATTCACACTTCCTTAATCTGAACATACTGTACAAGCAGAGTCAGCGATGAGCACAATTACTCGTGTAGGGCTTGAAATTCATCAATTTCAAAAGACACACATACTCACTCACATATACACATTACAGTATATATACAGGGATAAGACTATTACAGCTGCAGCTATATCAAATCAATCATTCACCAAGCCAGAGGCTCAGGAATACCTTAATGAATAAATGCATAATGAATCCTCAACATGCGTACACTCATATGAGGAGGTACTGATGGTGGGAAAAACAGACTGAAGTCTTAAAGAGGGCCTCCTCCTTTACATACCGCTTATAAAATGGGTATAGAGAAAATACTTATAACTAGAAGTTGGTATCGAAGGAGAATGAGTGGCTGTCTCTCCTCTTTGAACCTCCACAGTGCTATTGAGCAAAGCCCTCATACAGATACAGTAGCAGCTCTGTTGCCAACCAAGAGACCGGGATTAGTGGGCCGCTCCAGATGTGAAATGGTGAGCAAATATGATGCCGGTTTCAACCTAATGTTTCACAATGGATAAACATGACTAAGAAAACTGAATTCACTGTCCAATACTCTCTGGCACTGACCAGATATTTGTCAGCTTACTGTGGTGTTTGACCCAAGGGTTATAGGACAGAGGATACAAAGTGAGCTAGCCATTTACAGTAAAAACTTTAAAAAGGCATTAAAGTCATGGGGTTTCTTGTTTTCTAGCAGTTGTATCCACACCGATATATCTGCCAGAGGCTCAGGGTTAATAAGAGGCTGAAAGCTATATTTCTTTTTATTTGAGGGCTTTGGGGGATTTAGACCCAGTGTGGGGCCCTGATGGGGTCTGTGAGAAGAAGTTGAGGTTTAAGAGTGAAAAGGGTTGTAATGCAAGCCTCAGTCTAGAAAGCCAGAGAAAATACTGATCTATCTCTAAATAGACCAGAGGAGTAAGATGTAAGAAAGGAGGTTTAGGCACAGAGGTTGTGGCTCAGTACAGTAGTTGTATAGCTTAGTATCAAGATCCACAAGGGAGGGGAAAATATCAAAACTAAATCATGAATAAAAAATTCAATAAGCAGGACAGGAACTACTGTTCAATTATTCTCAAAGTATCTTATAAATAAATAGATAATATATGATTTATGTCACTTTAATAATAAAAAAAGAATAAGCTGTGTGGGTGTCACTGGTGGAAATAAGGACAAACTGAAGAATAGGCATAATGTGTGAGCACTGAAAAGGATTGATTCTACGCTGAGGCAGTGTATGAGCATGTATGTGATGTGAGAGACAAAACATGTGTGGGTGAGAGACAAAGAAAATAGGGGAGAGGGAGAAATTGCGATTCTGTGAGCATTAGCCTGACCTTGTGAGAGCTTGCTGCCCCCTCTTTCCCTTTGTGTGGGGAAGATGCAATTTCATGGTTTATTTTCTGTTCTGCTGTAGACCACAGGCGCACGCGCACGCGCACACACACACACACACACACACACACACACACACACACACACACACAGCCTTGTCAGCCAAAACACCACCCGTTTCCACCTGTTAAACTATAAGACAGTAAAGTAGATGTAGGCGTATACGAGGTTAAAACAGAAGATGAAAAACAGGGGCTAAAAAAGGAGGAATGCTCAGAGGAAAAGAAAACAATGTAAAGGGAGAAGAAGAGAGGACAAGTTAAAGGAAAACAAAGAGGCCATAAAGTGAGGAAGGGGAGAACAGTGGGAGGTTGGCAAGAGAGTAGAGGAGATGGAGGATATGCAAGAAGAGAAAGAGGAGTAAGAAGGTAAAGGAATGGATAAGTGCGATCAGATGATGTGTGCTCAGCTCTGAAGCTCAAGGACACAATTACTCTGAACAGACACTGAGCCATGACCGAGACTAGGAGAGTTAAAGTCCTCTGAACAACCAGCATTACCTGTAAAGCCACATCAAAGCTTAGAGGTTACTGACGTTCGCCTTGTGTGTACTCGCACAGCTGGACGCTTTTACATGAGCTTTACAACAGATTCACAACCCCAAACCCTAATCCCACATTAAAGTCAATCTTCTCTGCAGTGTGATATTTTCAAGTAGTGTCCTGAAATGGGGGAAAACTGGCATTTTCATAGAGATATTCCACATTTTATGTTTTTTTAAGTTTACTTATCGAGATTGTTTCTTGTAAAATGAGGTTTGAACTTCATTCTTGACCTTGGAAATAATAATAATAATAATAATAATAATAAAAGTTGTCAAAAAACAATTTTACCACAAGTTCTATTAGTAGCCAATTTGGAGTTTTGATTGGATCAGACAATCTTTGTCAACAAATAGTCTGCCCAGTAGTTGAAATACAATTTTGCACAAATGAGCGAACGCTCCAGAAAAGCTACTAATAAACTTTGTGGTGAGATTGTTTCGTCGACTGCTGCTTCCAAAGTTAAGAATTACCTGTCAATCTTAAGCCAACATGGAATAAGATTTAAAAATATTAAATCTGAACATCTCCACGACAAATGGGCAAACTCTATCTGCTGAGGACGAACGTGTGATACAATCAAAAGCTCCAGAACAGCTACTAATGGCACTCGAGAGATTGATTTGTGAACAGGTAAATTTGTGAATTTACCTATTTTGTGAACTACTATGACATCACACACTGCTCTGACCTGTCTTGGTGTTTCCTCCCTTGTATCTGATCCTCTGGATAGCTTCCAACAGCGCTTCCTTGCTGCCATGGGAGCTCAGCTGGAATTCTGTCCGGGCATCGTCGCTGAACTGAGCGATGGCCACCTGCAGCGAGGCAGAGACGGACAGACAGAAAGGTACAGGGAAATAAGTTTAAATTCAAGCGGCAACCTCCAGTGTTGACAAATGAATCCAACGCCGAAGTGTCAACAACTGCAGTTCTTCAAATGGCCACTTGAAGCTGGCTCCAAAAGTGAGTCAATCCCCATAGACCCCTATGTTAAAATGCTCAACTTTACAGCAGAAATAAACACGTTTACAGCCTGGTGCAAAAAACATTTTTGCTCTCTGTAGCCAATCGCTCCCTTCATGACAACTGTACAGGGGTGAGTTTCTATTCAAATTATATTGAAGGTTAACGTTAGGCATAACTAAGGGCGTGGCCACTATGAGTTACAGGTGGGTTTCGACTCACGGTGCTATTCTTCAGTCACCATCTGCTCACACTAACGTCAGTTACATTACCACTGAATTGCATGTGCAGGTTCAATTGTACTTCCTCCAACATGAACACAAGAAGGTACAAAGCGGATGTGGCAGTATGTGAATGCTATGAAGCCAAATGTCTGCGCTTAGAGTCTAAAACCTATTCATACCTCATTACACCTAAAATGTCTGCATCTATGCTCTCTCTCTCTCTCATATATATATCTGTGCTAGAATCAATGTAATTGGCTCACTCTAAGAGGGAAGAACAACTATCACTACTTCCAGACTGCTAATGGTGCTGTTGTTGGCTCAGGGCGGACTACATTTACCAGCCAACTCTCTCTTTACTGTACAGCCAACTCTCTCGCATTACAGCCAGCGTTCTGCTCTTGGTAGCCTAGTGCCAGAGGGTTATGGGGCTCACCAAGAGTAGCAAACTGCGTAACATAAGACATTACACAAATTAAAGAAAAAGGTTTAGCAAGCAAGCACCTCTACAGTGTGACAAATGAAGCAGCTGAGCTCTGCCGACAGTGTGGGGGAGCCATGCAGTCAAGAAGCACAAAGAAATTAGTTCACAATAACAATAGCGAAGTCTTGCCTCAAGTTAGAACCTGGTGTTATGAACCTGGTACATGAGAAACACTCTGAGGCAATGAGGATATTCACTCTACATTTAAAGTATTGCTGATGGCGGATTATATACTCGGAATCAAGTTGATAGTTATTAGTCAATGCTGCCTTGAACCAGCTGAACTTTTAGTTAAGCTTTTAATGTATCTAGACTTAAGTTAGTACGACCACCATTCCTCCAAGGAAAGTAATGTTTTCTGGCACAAAGCACAATGGCAGAAAATGAGCACGAGTTAATCAAATACTACCCAGCACCTAAAAAGAAAGTATTTCCAGAAAGTAAAGATTGACTCAGTGGGGGTTTAAAGTTCCTCCTCACTTCTCTAAACTTTTCTATAGATACAAGGCTGTGGGTCATGCTGATTTGTCAGGGGACAGCCAAAGAAAATTCTGCGAAATTCTGCTCCAAAGCATCCTTCCAGAATCAATTCATGCCAACAGCAGCAGCCTTCCTCAAACAATAAATGAGCCATGAGTCCACATGGGTCAAAAAGACAAACTCAGGTTGTTTAAGATTCCATTATCTATTTCATTATTTTCTGTTACGTGCATCATTTCTATTTCTGTTAACAAAGAAAAGATGTACTAGCTCACAGGCTACAGAAAGCAAGCTGCAGATCTTGAGAGTCATCCATTATGTTAAATCACTCTCCATCCTTTAATTATGGACGTACAGAATCCTGTCTTCGTTATTCCATTATCCCCTGAATCAAAGTCTGTTTTACAAAATATATTTCAACTTTTTTCTCCCTTTCTATTCTGTAGAGTAGTTGAAAGTGAAATGGGTTGCAGAATATGAAATATGGGGAACAGACGACGAGGTAGTTGGGTAGCATCGGGGAAATGTGGGAATTTTATTATATGTTAGACACTTTGTTGTGCTTGCAAAACATCACGAAATACTACAAAGCCCTGTTAAAATTGCAGAGGTTTGTAATTTTCTTTTTCGAGGCAATTCACACAAAAATACATTCTAATATGAGCAAATATATATTTCTCACAACCCGTCTGTGAATGGGTTCTTCCCCCACAGATTACACTATGACATACAAGTGTGGTTACTTTTGGCTAGATTCCCAGAATCTACTGTACATTCAATTTCCTGCGAGCATGCATTTTTCAGAAGGAAAGTGCTACAACAAAGAATGAATTATAACGAGTGAACAACAATTAAAAGCAGGCACATTTGGATTTCTGTTGGATAAGTTATGGTACTGTATAAACTGGCAATACAGTCATTTTCACTAGACAGACATTTAGACTAGGCACAAGAAACCACTAGTGATACATGTGGATACCAGCACTCCAAGGAGATTCTCAGCAGCATTATTTAGACCCAGATGGTCAAGATTGAATTCTAACTATCTTCATTTTTTGAAATGATGCATTTGGGGAAAGGGAGGCAAATCACAAGCCAACAAGTAAAACTTGTTCATCACTGTTTTACTCTTGTGTTCTTCCTTTGAGATTCTCCGAGAGGTAATAAATGATGTCGCTGTGGTCACATGACTGACCTGGGTACCGTCTGGTCCAATCAGATCCAGTGACCCCATGGTGCTGTACAGGAAACGTGTGATCTTCATGAAGTTGTCGTCTCCGATGGACCAGGAACCGTCGACCAGGAATGCCAGGTCAGCCTTGGCCTCCTTACACACTAGACGGACAGACAGCAGGACAGATGGACAGGAGAGATATAGATTCAGTCAGCACATATTTTGTCCCTGCATTTAAAAAAGTAACTTCATAAAGAATGAAGGTCTGCAGAGGACAAAGCATAACTTGAATGTTAACTGACTGCCTAATATATTCAAACTCTGAGTAAATATGCATAGTATGAAGCACTGCAAATATACATCTGCTGCAAAAGGGTAAATATGCAAAGGCTGGGTCCTCAGATTAATTTGCACACTATAGAGTTTATAAGCTTGAAAGTATAGTGCACACTCTAAAATTCAGAGTTTAAAACCACAAAATTGTGCTATATCCAATGTGTTTGTCTATTTCTTTCTCCGTCTGTAAGCTGCTCATTCATATTCCTGGTCCAGCGGTGACTCTACTTGTTCTTCTCAGGTTTCCAAATGATTCTCAGTAGCCTTATCTTTACTGCAGTAAAGTTGTTTGTTGGTTTGAACAACTTTTCATACTCCAGTTCATCGCTACATTTCAAAGTGCATTCATGAAGATGTCAGCCTCAATAAAAGGCAGGGGAAAACCTTCACTGTATCAATGCTGCTTATTAGGAAAAGTTGTTTTAAATCTAACCGCAACAAAATAAAAGAGGCGAGATGAATGAAATCATGCAAACGTCTGCTTTACTGGTGTTACTGCTTTTTGTTAGAGACAAATGCTATTATCGTATATTTTTTAAGAATTTCACAAGTGAAGATGCTTGTCAGAAATGTCAAGATAAAGGTCAGCTGGAGAGAGTTTTGATTACAGTGAATGTGGCTGATTCTGATAAAAGCTGTGATTTTACTGAAACTCTGTCTTTAGTCTCAATTCTCATCACCATTATTTCTCTCTGCTTTTATACAGGATCTTTTTCTTACTTATTTCTGTCTGTAGCTACCACAGTGTCTTTCCCATTATGTGTCTCTGTTTCTGTCTATTCCCCTCTGCTTTCTGTCTGCAGATCTCTGCCTGTTCTTCTCATCGTGCCTGCTCCGTTTCCTTCTCTTCCCTCTTGCTGTTCTTACCGCCTGTCTCTCTTCCACTTACCGACATGTGTGCACCTTGGCTTTCTCTTTCCCCTGCCATTGTTCTGTCCTAAGTAACAGACCTGCCATGAGGAATTATGGACAGGGGGACAAAATGTTCAAAATCGGGCCTTCCACACCCACTCTAGCAATACCACCGCCACTTCCACCCTTTGCTCTAAATCCTAACACCTCATCTTTACCAAATTGTTGTACTTGATCCCCTGAAAGCATGCTGGTAAAGGTTGCCTGACACTACAGATGGAGGCATCGGTCTGACAAAGGTCAGAGACTTAGACAGAAACACTAACAGACGGGCTCAGCAGGTGTGTTGGTTCATGTCTGTGGAGTTTGCTGTGCTCTTTTACCTGAGCCCATCAGACAGGACAGAGGAGGAGTATCTTCTGGGTGGGAGGTGGAGGGTCGCACTCTGAACCTGTAACCTCTTCTGTTCCTAATCAGCATGCTTTATGGACTGAATGCTGTGGTGTTTGGGGGAGAAACTGAAACTGCACTGAATTACTGCATTACTTTATTTTGGCATGAGCTGCAGCCCACAGTGGTCGGTGTATAGTTCACACAATAAAGTCATTGTGGAATATAGTTAAAGTCTAGTAGGCTTCCCGTGTGAGCCATTCAAGTATTCTCTTTTTATTTTTCCTTGTTTAGTTATAGTACCCCCACAGTTACCTCCAGGTCACTGTTGATATTTTGAAACTAAACACAGTTCACAGCTGCGTAATCAGCACAGAGTGGCATAATGCTGTTTTAAACCTGTGTTTCCTGTTTCAAAATCATGCCAGAGCTGTATAGCTTGCATTGGCAATTGTAGTATCTGTTTCTAAAAATTGTACAGAATGTCTGTTGATGACACATATGCAGTATGACAGCTGTGATAGTTTGCCTGCATGGCTTTGTATGATTTTAACTAAAATGCATTTCAAGAGCTGATGAACTATTGTGTCAGGTCACTACAGTTACCATAAAAAGTAATTTGATCACTATCGTACAACACTAGAAGAATAATATGAGTGTGTGTTTTTTGTTAGGCTTCAGGCTCACCTTCTTTAGCAGGTGGGATGGTGGGAGGGGGCTCTGTGGTGGGGAGTTCAGTCGGAGCTTGAGTGGGCGCTGGCACTGGACACACAAACAGATACACAAACATGGGGAAACAAGACAAGGTCATCGATCATGATGGCTGTGAGAAGTGGCACCATCATCAGGTTTATGTTCCCGACCACGCACACGCACGAGCAGATGCGCGCACACACACACACACACACACACAAACGCACACTTCAATAAGGTAGCACAATGACACAGCAATAGCCTGTTTCTATCAAACTGAAAGTTTCCTAATTCTCTTCCTTCCTCCGACAGCTGAGTTCTGGACTTCTGAAAGATTTGAAGTGCAATTTTTAGAATCTATGTGTGTACATAAGCGATCCAGCTTCAGTATTTTACTTTCTTTCCATCACTGGGATACAGCAATCAGACTTTATCTTTCTCCTTTCCTTCTATATATCTCTTTTTCCTTCCCTATATAAGCTGGGGACAGTAGGAGAGTATTTATCAGTCTAGTATCTGTCTGACCAAAGGGTATTTTTTTAAGAGTCAAAACAGCCCCCAGGTTAACGTATGTCTCAGTGCCAAGCCAATTACTTTGCAGAAAGCAATGAATTCTGTCAAACCAGGGTACAGCAAGTAAATCATCTTGGAAACATCCGTGACTGCCCACACAAGGGGCACATACTTCATGAAAGTAGATATAACTACCTCAACAAATGTTTCTTCAGCTTCAACGGTAACTTTTTGGTGAGAAAAAATGATAATTAGATTATTTCTTTGATTCAATCATCATCTTACCAATGTATCTGTGGGCAGTATCTGAAGGTAACAAAGTACATTTACAAGTATTGTTCTTGAGTAATTTTTACCTTTTTGTTACTTAGAATTAATATTTCATGTTACTTACTCAACTGTCTGCAAGCTATGATTACTCTGCAGACATATAAAGATGCGATAGTCTAATAAAATATACTGTATTGTCATAACATAAACTACCTTACATGAAGAAGTTAAAGTTAGCTCCACTCCAAAATTCAGTTTACATATTAATGCAACAGTAATTACTAATTACTAAAAAAAAAAATATATAAAACCTAAATAATTTAGCAATCCGAAAGGAACTATTTTGCATAGTTCACTTGTTACATTTTTCTCTCGATTAAGCATCTAAACAATTCTACACTTGTCTATGACCTGTTGCTGAAATCAAATTGTAGATCTTCCTGTTGAATTTAGTTCACCGCTGTCAACTCAGAATCTGTGAATCAACATCAGTCGGAGAATCTGTGTGTGTGTGTTTATGCATCTATCCATCATTCTATAACCCTGATTGTGAGCGGAGCACTCCTGGTCCCTGAAGCTGTGCGGTTCTCCTCAGCTGACCAATGAACTGCAACAGCAGACTTTATGTTCTCAGAGAGAGAAAGGGAGCGAGAGGAAGACAGAGAGAGACCTACTGCTGAAGACAGAAGAGAAAGTTGCAGAGGTGAGACAGATGTATGGCAGAAGGTGTCTACGGGGAGGGGGCAGATGGAAAGAGAGACGTAAAGAGAGATTGGAAGGATTAAGGGGTAAATTAATTATGGGGAGAAAATTGAGAATGAATAAAGAAAGGAGTGAGTGACAGTGGACAAGAGATGTGTGGAATAAAAGGGTTGACTGTGATTCAAACACCTTAAAAATGTTGATGAAAAATGGAAATAAATGGGATGAAACTCAAAACTTGAAGATATTCCACTGCTTTTGTCCACAGTGCAAAGGCAGACATTAGAACATTACGCATGGACAGTACATACAATGTATAAAACATTTGTAACATACGCGTCATGTCAGTGATGGAAACAGAAGGTCCTTCCATTTCCTGCATCTGGGTGTGAAGGCTGATCTGGTACTGGCTGCTGGGAGTGAGGTCATAGAAGCACTGTCGGGATGCACCATCTCCCAGGCTCACTTCCTGTCTCTGACCATCTGCAAGCAAAGAACAAAAAATAAACACGTTTAATGAATCAAGAGTCATAAAATCCAAACAAGCTCAAATCGCTGTCAAGCTCCTGTTTCACATGTACTGCATTTACAGAGCACATTTTCTATTTTTCAGCCATTTTCTGCATCAAGTCTGAGAGCGGCTAAGTATTACTTTCTTTCATGGTTTGATACTAAGCAGCTTTATTGGAGCAGACAGGTCATTTAAATTAAAGGTTAACTGCCAAAGCATATCAGATCACCTGGAAATTCATAGTTGATGTGAAAATCTTGCCTTCAGCTTTATTTATTACAGAATTTTACAACAAACCAGGTTAAAAACGACTGCAATACATCAAACTATCCAATATCTGGCAAATATATAACAGATGAATGCACCAAAGAAAAGGTTAACTTGAAAAATTTAAAAAAAACTAGATAACTATGTAGTTAAAATCGCTGCAGGGAAACCTCATATCCCATAAAAAATGAAAAGATTCACATTTATTGATTCCTTTCGTCAATTTCTTTTGGATTGCAGACGGCAAACACTTTTGCAACACATGAGTGTTTGTTTTGAAAACCCATATATGGCCAGCATCAAATGAATGAGTATTTATATTTGCAGCCAAATAGGGACAAACTGGAAACTGGGAGTGCACATACACATGCACTAATAGCTGCCATTTGTCAGTGTCATTAGTCTAATTCTATTTCTTAATGTGTCTTTCATCTTGGGGAGCGACGAAATCGCTCCTCCTCCACACAGGTACCAAGCCATAGATAATGAAGTTTAGGGAAACGGCCGTCACACAGAGAGTGCACTTTTCCATCTGAGAAGGTGTTTAAGCAGCTGGTTGGCTCTGCATGCATTAAACAAAATCACTAAACTCCAGTCGCTGCTCAGGCAGATGGGAGGGAGAGACAGAGATAAATAGAAAAATAAGGGAGGGAAGGAAGTCGAAAGAGACACGTCTTTTTTGACAGTAAAAGGCAATGAAATGTGGAAAAACATCACTTACTGTGCACGTTTCCTTCAAGTAGAAATTGTTTTATTCATATTGCTAATCTCTACATTCACCAGGCAACACTCACATTTATTTTAATCAACTAACTTCCAATCATCTACTGCAAATCCATTTTAAAGCAGAGCAGGTTTGTGTCACTAGTATTCAAAGTTGCTATAAAGTTAATTTCTTTTCGCAGACTATCTAGAGCTATATATATCTACGGTACAAGACAGAATTATTTTAAAGGAATTGTGTGATGTTTGGGAACTATGCATTTTTGATGATTAGAAGATCGATAACACTCTCATACCGGTAATCTTAGAAGCTAGAGCCAGAAGATGATTAGCTTAGTGTAGAGACTGAAAGCAGTGGGAAATAGCTGGCTCTGTCCAAAAGGACACTAAATTGGACTAATTAACCTTATATCTAGTTGTATAGGGTTAGTTACATGATATCACGGCTGGCTGCAGGTAACCTCCTAGATTAAGCTAATCTCACCTCTTAGCTCTAGCTTCATACTTTATGTCAGCACACAGGCATGAGAGTGGTATTGATCTTCTCATAACTCTTGGCAATAAAACAAATCAGCATAATCCCCAAAATGTCAAAATATTCCGAACTATAGTCTTTCTTTGGAAGTAACACTTCAATTGTGAGAAACAAGCAGGGAAGTTTGTTTGTTTTTACCTAGAAATGACCCACAGGTGTTCTTCAACTTCCAGATTTACATATTATGTACATTGCGTGAAATGTTATTGTGCCACAGAAATAATAGAGAAATAACCCTTTCTGCAACATTATCCTGTTTTTTTTCCCAGAGCTGTCTGCGAGATGATCTGCACCAACACAGTGGTCTCATTGAAATGAATGAGTAAGGCCAATAGTTTTGCCACAGACCACCTATCATTGTGAAAACCTCAGCTACTGAACATTGATGCTGGTGGTACAATAATATCAACTGAAAGCAGAAAACCTACATCCTGTATTGCATTGAAGTATTTGTGTACGTGTGAACCCTATCGACACTGCGTCGGTTTCTGCTTCCTGTGACCTTTTGATACATGCTGACATTCAAAAAATAAACACACACAAAACATTGTTTTTCATGGACAAAAACAATAAAAAGAATGAGCAGAAATACACCAAGTAAAACTTTCCCAGAGAACCAATAATCTGCATGATATTTGCAACAGATGGCTGCATAATGCAAACAAACATTGTGAAGACTGCTATAGGAAGGAATATCTTTATTTCTCTGTTGAAACAGTGACAGCATCCTTTATATTTTACGTATATAAATCCCTGCTGTACAACCAACTGCCCTCTTTTCACAAATAAAACTTGAACACGAAGGTATTCACTGCAAGTGGACCAGCGCCAAAATACTCTCTTGCCGACGGGACACATTGGTATGTATTTTTTCTAATGTCTTTCTTACTTTTAAAAGCTCCTTCCTTATTTCCTTCCACTGTCTCCATTTTTCCCATTTATTAACTGAGTAAGCTGAGCATTAAACAGCTTCTAAAGGTCACACTCTGTGTCTTTATTCGTTGTATTTCTGACGTGATGACATGAGCGATTCTCAAAGCAGTCTCCTCCCATGACATTTATGGGGAGAGATCGTGTGCATATCATTTTTCCCTTCCTTTCTGTAAACAGAGAGATTGATGAATATCCTCTAAAATGAACACCACTGCCAACTGGAAATGACATATGTAACACTTATTTCCTGAGAGGCGCTTATCAATATGAAATTTCAGATGTCTGTGATGTAACCATCACACACACACACCCACACACACACACACACACACCTAGAGAGTCCTGAGACATGTTTAGAAAGGACAGACTGTAAATAAAATAGGAATCATATTCTGAACCAACTATCACAGCTCGAGTAAAACCTCTGATTTACTGACTGAATTGTATTTCAGTCACTTTGCTGGCAAACGTTTTCTTTCTTACACCGTGGAACATTGAAACATGTTGGAAGGGCTGGAGGTGTACACCAAAATGTTGGTGAGAACAGCTGTCGCCTGTGTGACAGTGCATGTGTTCCAGGATCCAGGGGCTAACTCTGAATTAAACTTTTGTCTGCAGATATTTAGATTGTTTTTTTTAAACTGCAGTTAAAAGGTGTGATTCAGACCTTATTTCAGCAAGATGATCTAGTTGCACTTAATTTGCATTCAAAACAGGGGAGTCAATCAAGTTACCGCTTGGAGTGAGCTGCCTCTCTGGTCTCACATTCTCACACAAAAAAAACTGAACTAATGAAAGCACTAAATCACCACCAGCTTTGAGAACAGACCTGAGGACTGGTCCACACACATGCACATGGATAACCCCAAACCCCAAACACTGTCGGTGAATGGACTTACTGAGTGTAGACTGTATGGAGACTCTGTACAACGTGGCACGTAGAAGGGGCTGCCATTGGACGCAAAGGCTGTTGGGACGTACCTGGTAGGTCGACAAACCAGAGACACCGAGGAACACTGGAGATAGAGAGCCAGGAAGATATAGGAACAACAAATTACAACATGAAAAGTTTTAATTTGCTGTCGTGTGTCACTTGTGTTTGTGATCGTTTCAAAGGGATTACAGCTGTTTGCATATAATATGTTATAACAGATGTTTAACATAAGTGTCAAAAACTGTTTCTGATAAGTCGTAGCACCTTTTCACATTTTCCAACCATAAACTTTTCTCTTTCCTTATTGTCTCTTTTGTCCCTTGTCTGGTAAATAGAGGGTTAGAGCGGCATTAAAAGAGACAAGAAAAACTTGAACATCTTCTTTTTGGGCTTCTGAAAAATTTACAGCGTACCATATAAAGTGGAAATGGCGTAAGTGTATCTATACTGACAGTTACAGTTACAACACTCAGCTGCCTAGATGTTAAAACAGATCACAAAGTAACAAAATTAGTCAGGCTTGGTGTTTCTCTGCATTGTGGAGAACCAATGACGCACGATGCAGCAAAATGCAAAACACCACAAGCAATTTGAATAGCTGAAGCTTGTTTAGTGGTGAGATTTCAGTGTACCATAGGCAACCTCTGTCTCTCTCTCTCTCGTTATCAGAATATGCTGATGGTACAAAATAAACTTGGGCTCTGGCGCCAGTAAATGGATATTTTAAACTGGGACCATATGGCAGGTGCCTTATTTTAAATACTTGTGAATAATGCATATTTCAACCCATAATATTACTCAATGATATGCAAGGATAGGAAGGATACAGACAACACACAAACACAAACATGCACACTACCATGTACAGAAGTAAACACATGATTACGGACATATGTAATCATGTACCATGTCATGTGTGTGTACATGTGAACACACAATAAGTGATGTGAGAAAACTGTGTCAGGCTGGCAGTGCAAAAATAAAACAATCAACTTAGCATGTTTGCACAGGAAAATGGCAGGTTCATAACCAACACGAAGCTCTGCATTTGGCTTGATTGCCGTGATTGCACTGGCCAAACATTTCCTGCCCTAAAATATACTGTTGACTAATAATAGTTTCCACCAAACAATTTCTTCCTTCTATGTCTGCCTGTTTCTCGTCATGTACTGCTTTTACAGTCTTTTCACTGTTGTGCTTATTCTACAAAGTTTCTTGAGCCAAACATTGACCGAGCACCCTTCACTGGTCCCAGGGTGAACACATTGTTATTGTACAATACAAACTGCATACAGCTTTATTTGGGTGAAACAGTTTAATTTCATTCAATGGCCCTCGAGGTGCCGATAATTACCTTTTTTATGCTACATGCTAGTATGTGTAATTTATTGGTGTAAACACGCCAGCTGGCTCCCATGGTAAGGATGCAATGAATGCAGTGTACCTAGGGAAATATGTTACTGTATCTCCCTTATTATGATGAGAAATGACTCAAGGCATCCCCCTGAATAAATCAGCGTTCCTCCAGTGGAAAGTACAAATATGGACAATGAATTTAAATACGCCCTGTGTAACATGGGAAAATCTGATGAGCCTGAAATTTATCATTTATCATTTATCATTGCTTTTGTCTGACAGAGATGTGATAGGACTAGAAAAGTGTGGGAGGAGAGTATCTGAAAATACAAAAATATAGATAAAGTTATTGGACATACATATTATTTTGCACTGTAAGTATAGAAATTAGGCTTACGAAGAGCCAAGAAAGTCTCGCTAAATTTGGTGATGTGGACATAAAGTGCCACATTGACATTTAAATGTGGAAGGCTGATAAATTTACATGTCAATGGCTCATATTTTATCTTTATCTTCCCATGAAAGCATCTTTCATAGTGAGAACAGCACAGAGGCAGGAAGGTGTGAGGGAGTTGTCACTCATCCTACAGTTGGTTGATTAAAGAACAGATTAAGAATAGCCCATCACTGGAGCACAAATTAATACAAAATGTGAAGTGATGATTCCTCTACATTTAGTTGTTAAATTTTATTTTTCAACATTTTTATAATAAAGTTAAGGCAAATTGCATTTCAGAAAAAAATCCAAATCTCTTTTTCTGTGTGTATTAACGTGCAGGAGGAATTCATGAGCTATTAAATTAGAGCATGTTTGCTTTCATCCCATTTGATGATCCGTTATTTGACTGGTCCCTTCTGGCCAATCAGACAGTAAGCCCTAAAGACAACAGTAGATTTTAAAATAAAGAATGATACAGCAGTTTTTCAGCAGGGTGATGGATAGTGACACAGCACTCTTCTGAGAGCCTGCCAGAATAGGTTTAAAGAGTGAATGCATACATACATGCACACATATCTCTTCACTACAGACACATTTCTCTCTCGCTCTCTACTAATAGTCAATATCTCTCTCTCTCTCTCTCTCTCTCTCTCTCTCTGACAGTCTATTTGTCTTAGATGTGAGACACTTTTCAAGCCTGCATTAGATCTTACTGCACCTCCTGATACCACATCTTGATGCAAAAAGGATTTTTCTCATTGGCTGACTTGGAAATGTTAATATCCCTCTGTCTTCTATTTGCTGAAGGCTCAATGGAAATTAGAGTGTATGGTATCAGCAGGCAGTTAATATGCATGTTGTTCCTTTCCTATTTTCCTTATAGTTTGCTTTTCTGCTGCTGCCGTTACTGTTGCTGTTTTCTGTGCCTCCTTCTTCGAATAGCCACACTGTCCTTTTAGACAATTTTAGACTGGAAACGTAAGGTGATGTTGACATCCCCATTAGGGCTCGTTCTGGAATGACTGATGTTTAAATTTGATATGACTTTCCAAAAGTAAATCAGGTTATCATCAGTGACAGCTCAATTTAAAATTTTGAAAGTCACTTTCATAAACCTTTTTTTATTATTATTGACCTCTGCAAACTTGTCTCTGCAAACAGTGAGATAGCCTCATCTATTTACAGTCATGCCAGATGTATTATACAGATGTATAATGAGAATGCTTACATGTCTTGGCATTCACTAGCAGCGGTTCACTTTGTCCTGTAGGGTAGGAAGCCGTCAATTGAACACTGTACTCCGTCCCACTTAGTAGATTCAGAAGCAGCATGGAGTTCACATCTTCACCGACAGTCGTCTCCAAAACTGGTCCTGGAACTTTGAAAGACACACATGCATACATGAGCACAGACAGGAAGGACAGAGCAAAAGAGAGAATGATAGGAGTTATTCTTTTTAAGAAAACACACTGCAAATCAAATCCAGTTTACCGTTATTTTAAACTTTAAAAAATGTATTTGAATCTTTGCAAAAACGTTATAATCCCATTTAGAATTGAAACTTGTTACATTTTCCGAACACATCGGTTAATCCTAATCCTTAAAACCTTTTCTTATGTAGCTAAAGTTAAAAGTGAACACATACATATCCAGTATTGGATATGTTAGAATGACTTAAAGGGAAAATTTGCCACGTTTATGTGGATGTTTTAAGTTCGCAGCTGCAAAATCTGTTCTTCCTGCATCTAGTGGCATCATTTGACGTGACAGTGATGTAGTTGGAGGCTAGGAGGAACTACAGGCTATTTCATCCGTTATTTCTCTCGGTAGCTAGGAGACGTGATCTAGCGGATCATGCATAGAATGTTATGGATAATGAATGCAGGCTGCGGCTGCAGTAGGGAGGATATTACCAGCGGGGCCCTCCATCATCTGAGCTGCCAAGAGCAAACGTCGACTGGTGGTACCTTTGCTCAAATTGCCCTCCAAAGCCAACAGAAACAAAATCATTGTGCTGCAATGAATGTCAGCGTAGGCATTTTTTGTTGGATGCTGTCATTGGAGTCAACCGCAAGACAGCCTGTGTGTGTGTGTTATATGCATGAAAGTTTTACTCCTCACTTGGACAGAGGTGCTGGAGACCTTCATCAGGATCCTGAAGACAAACTGAAAAGCACAACCAAGACCAGCAAGGCTGAGAGGGCTGAGGACCATTGGGTGAGTAGTTTTGTCACCTAATGCTATTGTAAGCTTTTTTTGTTGATTTGCCTTATTAGCAAAGTGAATTTAAGTTGGGGGTTTATTGTTTATTGCTGCCATTGACAATGTGGAAAAGAATAAAGAGTTGTTGCCGTCTGGATTCACGGTGGTTCAGACTCGGAGCCTTCGTGGTTTTTTTATTGCTTAAGTATAGGCACATCTCATAACCCTTGGCTACACTGTTCTGGCTGGGTGTCAGTAGCCCACGCATAATGCAGCCACTGCTTTCTCCACAGGCAGGAGGGCTCAGCTTTCTCTATAAAAATAGCGTGCACTGAGGAATTTATTGCTTCAATAGACTACATTCACCATCAACACTGATTGGACATCCACATAATAGGGTCGCATCTTACGTTTTCCCTCATACGTATGAAGTGAGACTAAATCGCACCGCAATACAAGAACAATGTCCTTTCTCTATTTTCCTGTTTTCTACACTTTTGCTGGGGACCTACAGCTCTAGTTTCACTCTTTCAACATGATTCATTGTATGGAGCCAACTTTAACACTGGCTTAATTAGCTAGTCAGCTACAACTGATAAAATCAGGGAGTTGCAATTTCAGCTGCCAAAATTAAAGGTCGCCATGCCAGAAATGAGAAGATGCTTCCGTCTACCTCGGCCCGAAATCAAAAACTCATTGTTTAAAAAAATGACTAAGAACTTTGAATGGTAAACCTGTTTCCATTATCAGTGTAAACAACATCACAATCTTTGCATAAATATACACACACCTGCACAAATATACATGCATGCACACATTCATAGCCTTACTGTACTGTGGCAGTGTTTCCATCCGTGCAGGAGCTGGCTGTACTAAACTAAGTTACCCAGAGGTGTGTGTGTACACACACACACACACACACACACACACACACACACACACACACACACACACACACACACACACACACACACACACACACACACACACACACCAAGAAATAATAATAAAAAATAATAATAAAAAATGTCTATCAATTCAGTGTTTCCAAAGAACTAGTGATTTACAAAACAATAATCCTGCATACGGTGCTACATCTAAAAAAAGAACAAAACCAATACAAGAAGAAAAGTAAAAAAAAACATAAATAAAGGAGGAGCAGCAATTACCTTTGCAAAACACCACCCACTGGAACATTGTTTAATAGAAAACAGCCTGTGTCTATGTGTATATGTGCATGTGTTTGTGGAGATATGAATGCATTTTATACATTTGCCTGATAAAGTGGGTTTAAGTTTATATTAAGTATATTGTAGCTGTATCTGTATCTGTGTGTAGGCATTTCCACATATACACTCTTTTACCATTCTCACAGTGAAAACAGCAGTCTGGTGAGATGAGTTTTCCTTCAACCTAATGCATAAAGTCAAATTAATGCAGCTGTTTGAAGCTGGATCCTCAAAGACACAGTGATTGTGTTTAGATGACTAAAAACAGATATGGAAACTAAAAAGACTGGAGCCTCATCTTGGAAGGATAAAACAATTAGCACTAGAGAAGCAGCAGAACAGTGAAAATGGGCTTCTGAGGATGATTCAAGACGACGAATGAATGAAGAAGGGTAATATTTTATTTCAGATCTTTATCGCTGATGTTTTCTCTGAAGCCTCAGGCATCTTGTTAAAAAGAAAAAGTTAGAAGTCACCATCAGGAAAGCTTTGAGAGCAGTTTATTGTTCAGCTACTTTGGGCCTGTCACAGGTTTGTTGCTGGTGGGTCATAACAAAAACTGATTAGTATGTTTGGACGAGCCTGTGTCCCAAGGCAAAACACAGACTATATTTAAAAAATGCTCCTGTGTTTGACAACTAGCAGCTGTGCTTCATTGTATATATGTGTGTGTGTGTGTGTGTGTGTGTACCATAGATGGGCTGGTATACAATCCTGTAACCCATTGTAGGCGACTGAGGTGGATCCCAGGTTACCCTGAAGCGATTGTACCACTCTTCTGACACAAGTACGTTTCCAGGAGACAGGAGGGGCACTGCCAAAACACAAACAACACAATATCAGGGCTTTTCAGAACGTGACTAAAAGGTGCACTATCAGTTATTTTTGTAAACAAACAAGTTACTTTCAGTGTTAATGCATTGTCTAACAAACGTGTCATGTGCTTTTCCTTCCTCATAAAACGTTTGCAAAGCCGACTTTGTTTTAAGTATTTATAATCCTGCAATGTTAACATCCATGTTTACTATCTTACAGTCCTCTTCGTCCCTGGTTTACTGGCACATTGCAGCAGATCTTGCCATCTTACCACCACCTGTTGATCAGTGGAATAGGTGAGGTCTAAAACTCCAGTGGAACCTTCACCTTCAGCTTTTTGTTTTAATTGCATGTGTTCGTACTGTATAATGTATGAATTAGGGCCGGATATCATTTGAAAGTTTTGATACCAACGCAAAAACTACACAAGAAGTTTGCCTATATAAAATACGGCCTGAAGTTGGCACAATTATGATTTATATCAGTCTTAATTACGTAAAGAAGAGCACAGCAGAAACTACTTATCATTAATTATTGAACAAAGCAGCCAGTTATCTTCTTGATTAATCAATCAATCGTTTGGTCGAAAAAATACATTTTCAAATTTCTTACTTTGTCTGATCAAAGTGTCAATACCCAAAGAAATTCAATTTACAACGATATGAACAGGAAAACACAAAATATTCCTCATTTTTGCTTTCAAACATATTTTAACAATTATTCAATAAAGAATCCATCTGAGGAGGCATTTGATTGCAGCTTCTCCAGCTTTTGGTACTTGACAGTTTTTAATCCTGCACTACAGACACATTTTGATCAGTACCACAAAAATATCAAGGTTCGACATGACTTTTGTTCGATGTTTTTGTTCACAATTTTAAAAAAATTAAACACGGCAATCTGTATATTGTTTGTTGATATATGGTTTAATTATGTCCTTTTCAACATTCAGTGAAATATAAATCATAATAACATTATTTGTCTAAACAGTGAAGGGATTGGTTAAATTTGAGGTTGTAAGTTTCTATAGACCCTGATTTAGGAGAGAATCATGTCTCACTGTACATCAAGTATGGCTTGGCCTTCGACTGTGCTGCTTTCCAAGCTGAGAAGAGATTTGTATTTGCAATGTGGCTAGTTATCAAAGTATCCTCATCTAATAAGATGACATATTTCGTCTGACATTTCAATTCTCTGTACAAGGAGACAATCAACTACTGCTCATAAGAGGTAATCAAGAGAATGGTTGAGAAAATCCATTAGTGCCGAGCAAAATAATTTAATTGTCTCATTAAGTAAAGGAGCTGCTGTAATTATGAACGGCCTTCATTAAGACAATTCAGAATGCATCAGTATTCGTCGTCGCTTTTATTCATATATTCCTTCAGGAGCGTAAATTATCATAAAATTAATGCAATGCAAAGGAATATTCTGCTCGCTGCAATGAAATTAATTTTCATTAGCTTTCTGTTTTGTCAGATGTGTTCTCATAAAAGGGGAACTGCATATTTGTAAAATTAAAATTGAGAAACCCAGACTTGACCCTCTTGGTTAATAATTCATTGGAGTGTGTGAGTGTGTGTGTGTGTGTGTGTGTGTGTGTAAGGCTTACATGTGGCACCCAGAACAGAGACACAGATGCCGTCTTGTCCATTGGTGTACACCGGTGTGACTGTCACTTTGTACTGGGTGTCTGATAGTAAAGGCTGAAGCACTGCTCTCATCTGAACACCAGGAACTAACACCTACACACACACACACACACACACACACACACACACACACACACACACACA